GTTCCCAAACTTTGTCCCCCCCCCCCCCCTTCTTCATAAACAAGAGTTCCTCTAAAAATTGCCAAGTACAATTTTGGATAGTTCCTATGGGAATTGGTACTCCATTTTTTTTTTAAATGCATTTGCTGTATAGTATGCCAAACTGCAAGCAAGAATGCAGGAATCTACTGCTAAGGTGTGTACAAGGTAAAAGCAGCTGGTCAGTTACTGACTTTTTGAAAGGTTGGATAATGTCTGGCTGGCAGCTGCATGCATGGCGTTCCTACATTCCAGTAAATGTTTTTAGGATACAATCTCTCATTTTCTTTATACTGCCAAAAATAAATGCTAAGACTTTGCACCACGTTAAGAATCGGGCAGTCCAGCCAAGACTGCAGTTCTTGTGTTGGCCTGGAGTGAGTTAATACAACTGAAGTTCTGGTTTGTCTGGGTTGCTTTCTAAAACCACCTATTACGTTCTTTAGACAGATTTTTACAATAGTTGACCAGTGTGTTGAATTTTATACATATCTTTATGGGGTCAGAATACATACTTTACTAACACAACTTTGTTTTTCTGCTAGGCTTAGATAATTGGTTCTGAATGCTGCAATTTTGAAAATTAGTAGTTGTGATCATTAGGAACCTGTACAGATTATGGGAAGTAGCTGGATGTTGGAAGACAATTTCTGGTTCACACAGTTTATTAAGTCCACAATATCCCAGATTATTGAATGATGGAGCAAACAGCAGAGGTGTGCATTAATCTATGACATTCAATTAGGATCAGTTTTTATTTGCTGCACTGTACTTCACACCTATATTTTAGGTGTGATTCGGCATTCCTGCGTCAGGATTCCCTAATCCGCTGCAGGAAAACTTGTGTTTTTCTGCAATAGGATTCTCTAATCTGCCGTTAACAAGCGGCAGCTGTCACGCGTTCAAGTTAATGATCGGGTGACTGTCACTGCATTTGAACACCGGCACACTGCATGTATTCTTATGCGATACAATTATATGTGGTTAGGAATTCAATCACTATTCCTGGACGCACAATCAAATATAGGTGGAGCCTGTTTTTTTTCTGTGGGATAGTGCACACCTTGGTACTGTGGGTCTCATGCACTGCGATTTGTGTGGAAATTTTATTTAATGTCTGCCCTGCAGCCACAAGTCACAGTTCAACAGATACTTTTCTTGGGACACATTGCAATATGAAGGGAAGAATCCGGTTGCTGTAGAAAACCGACCACTTCAGACATTAAAAACACATTTATGGAAGGGATCTGTCATATGTGACTAGGACATGTGACGATGCACATTATCTCAGGGGAGTATAATGCCCTTCCCTGAGATCTCATGAGGTTACAGATGAGATTTACTAGCAATGATCTGCTGATGTAACCTTCCCAGGATGCAACGCTTGGGCACATTACATAATTTGTGCCAAAGTGGACCAGGAAGTGGAAAAAAAGAAAATGTAAGTAAAATAAAAATGTTTAGCGAATAAAATATGACTCCATATCGGCATGCAGAGCTGTATGGTGGTGTGATTTTCTAGACAAAGGGGGTAAAGGTCTGCTTTAAAACATGCACCAGGAAGATATACCTTGAGTGAATGATTGGTTAATGTCAGAGCCTTTGAAGGGGATGCAGTAGCTATGAAGACTTTCAGTATTTTGGGATTACGTCTGCTGCTGGGAACACGGGTACTACAGTGACTCTATAGCGTTGCCTTCAAGCTATGAATAGTATATTTTTCTTGGATAGATATGGTCATCTTTTGAGGCCTGCCATGTTTCATGACACTAAACAGCATGCTAGACATTTGTGTGTTTTGCTACCAATAATACCGGGGAGCAAAGCATTGTAATTATTCTGTGTGGGTGTATTGGTTTACTATTTTTAGAATTGGAGTATATTAAATTTGTACCTCCTGTCATGCTGCACATCATACCTGTCCCTTCGCTGGTCCTATGGCAGTTTTTTCTGAGACTGTGCTAGTCCGTGGTTTCCGATCGGGGACCATGGCTAAGTGCTCTGATTTATGGCTTTTCACAATTTGCAGAGCAAGATGTCAGAACACGTACAGCCCCTATCAAAATGCAAGATCTGCTCAACATGCAAAAACACAGCCATGCGTGTACAAAATATAAATTATTAGGAGAAAAAAAGCAAAAATATATTTGCCTTACACCCCAGCTTCCATCCATGGCAGATAGTCGAGGATATCATCACTGGGAAAGCTGAGGATCCCAAATTTCTTCATTAGTGTGCAAGTGCTTTCCAGGATCTCACCAGAAGACCAGAGAGGTCATCCTTGTCAAGTGGTAAGGCAAGTATATTTTTGCTGTAAAACAACCTTGTGCATCTCATGTTCAGGGGCAGGTTGGTGCAGTAGCGTCGTGGAGGTCCGATGTAGTTATACATTACTTTCACCTAATACTTTGTTTTGGATTTAAAGGTGTATGCTCCACAGCTTTTATAATACTGTTGTTCCTTCCCTATAAAATTGCAATGAATATGTTAAAGAAACATACACTCTGAAGGATTCATGTAATTTGGAGTTGGGAAGTCTACAAGTAAATGCTGTGGTTCTCTTTTTCTCCATACCTGAAAATTCTTCCCCTTACTGCGTCCAGTTGCCTGGATGTCTTGAGTCCACACCAAACACAATGGGACCTGCAACTAAATAAGAGTAGAATAGTGGAAGGGTGAGATGAGTGGAGGAACTTGCAATGAGGTCGCAAGGGGCCAAGTGTGCACGAAACTATGACTAACTGTATGTGTGTTTGGAAACTGTTGTAATACTCCCCACTAATAGATCTCCACTCTACACACAGCCATATACTAAATTCCTTTCCCAACAAACTATTCCTCATTAATTGCAACTAGTTTTCCAGCCTGACCTTTTTGTCTTCCCAGTTCACCATATACAGTCATATTGCACAGTGCATCTTTTGAGATCACTTGTCGCAGATCCCTGTTATGTTGCTTAAGTATGCACAGTGCACAACAAGTTGCTTAACTATACACTATGCACAACAAGCACACAGTGTGCTTGTTGTGTATATTATTTAGCTGTAAAGTATAAGAATCCCCTGCCCTGTCTATTGTGTGATATCAGGTATGCCTAACTCAAGTAAAACAATGGGCTTAGTTGAGTGGAATTTAAGCTGACCTCATGTAATTTAAAAATATACCCTTGCAGTGGATCCCTGCTCTAGCCCCTGAACTTGAAGGATTAACTGCTTAAGTCTAAGACTGGAGGAATCTGTTCTAATATGTCTCATTCTGGCAGGCTTTAGCACT